ACCAACATTAGCAGGACTAATACCACCACTAGCTTGACCACCATTATTAGCAGGAATAATACCACCAGTAGCACCGGTAGCAGCAGCACCAGTAGCTGGACCAACATTATAAGTATAAACAGAATGACCAATAAATGGAGTAATAATAAGCTTACTGTATGTAACAGTATCATTATTAGCACCTAGACCATCTGGTCTGCCTAATCGGCCAACAAGATCTCTAGCACCTACAGTTAAAATATTACTATCAAACCTGCCAGCACTAGCTGTTTTATTGCACCTATACGTTGGCAATGGTCCACCCTGAAAATGTGGCCATTGTCTGATCGCATTGTATACATTTTGGCCAGGACTTTGTGTACACGACTGATCCCTGTGACCGTGCAATTGATAGTCACCAGTCAATCGATCGCCCAGTTTCTCGAAACATTGGACTAAACGTTTGGCCGTATCCAACATCAGTTGACTGGGTTCCTGGTTGTCGTACTGACCAATGAATGCCACGGATAGGGACTTATCGTGCAAACCGACCGGTTGCGATCCGACGACCTGCGTTGATCGTCCCCAATATATACGGCCGTCGCCGCCAATCAATGCATTATAGCTAATATCCCGGAGCTCCTGTGTATCCATTTGATAGTCTTGGATATAGCGTACGGCACGGATACATGAGTTCAGGTCCAGACACTGACGGGAATAACTACTGGTGTGATATATGAATAGATGGGGAACGGGTAGTTGAGCAGGTGCCAGTGACTGTCGTGGTACACGTGCCCCCCATTCTCTACGATGAATGGATGGCAGATCTGAACATTCTGTGTGTAGGTGTGTTTGGATAATAAATAATTATTAATTAATAATTTAGAGGCAGAGAGAGAGAGAGAGAGAGAGAGAGAGAGAGAGAGAATAAATATTTAATTTTTTATATAAATTTTTTCTAAATTAATCTATTTTTTAAAATCATAATACCTTTTACTATAGTTTTATAACAAAAATAGCAATTAAATACTGTAATCACTAATATTGTTAGCAAACTAACCAATTGTTTACCAAACATTTTTGTCTAAAAAATAAAATAGTTTAGTATTTTTAACAAACAAATAGTTACTTTAATATATAGTTTACTTCTAGTTTTTTCTATACACACATAAACTACTAACTGCTAACTATAAAACTATAAATTATTTTTCAAAGGTTTTTTTTATAAATTTTAATTAATTTATTATTACATAATAATATATATTATATATATATATATATATATATATATATATATATAGTTATTAATAGGATTTTTTTTGTATATGGAGGCTTAGATGAGGGGTTAGGTTGTTATAAAAAATTATAATACCTGTATTATCTTAATATTTAATATTTATCATTATAACTATTTTTGTTTTGTTTTACTAACTTTTTTTTAAATTTACAATTAAAAGTTAAAATTTATATCGAGATTTTTTTTTTTAAAAGAATAAATTAATTGATAAAATAATTTTTAGTTTTTTAATAGTCCGATTAAAATTTTTTAAATCTAAATATTTAATAGTTAACAACCCCAGCATCAAATAAACTCAATTCCTGTATCAATGTGTTTATGATGTAGATATTTGTTTATAATAGGACCCACCTAACTCCTACCCACTCCCTCACTAGTACTCCCCTAAACAAACATAAACTGTGCAACCCTTGTATATAAATACATATATATATATATATATATATATATATATATATATATTGACGCATTTTGACAACGCGTGCGTAGATTATATATATAATGTATGCGTATTTTGTCCAAATACGTCAATTTTTTTTTGTTTTTTTGAAAATAACAGTAAAAGTATAACATCCTGTTACATAATATTTTTTTTTTTGAAAATATTTTCCTGAAACATATTTGACAATTTGATTTATGTTTTTTTAAAAAATAAAAATAAAGTTATCATATTATATAAATAAGTTTTATGGTGATTCCCTATGGGATTATATTTATATTGTTATATTAATTAATGATTACAATTATAATCATTAATTTATACTTATTATTTTTTTTTAATAACAAAAATGTTGTAAAAATAAAATTTTATGCCCAAACAAAAATTAAAGATTTTATTAGTAATTATTTATAATTGAAATACAAAATAAAATAATATAACGGGTTAGTGAGGAATAAATAAAATTATGGATGAAATTAACTAAAAAAAATTAACTATAATAACAACTCTAATATAATAAAATATATTTTAAATATAGTTTTTAAAGTTATATAAACTGTATTATAATTAACTATTATTTATATTAAAATTAAAATTAAAAAAAATTATTGTTTATTTATTTAGGGATATACAATTATACAATTTAAGCATATTATTTATTATAAATTTTATTTAGATAACTTTATTTTTTATCATAGATATTTGTCAGTTAGATATTTTATCATTACCATTTATATTGAAATTAATTTTATTAAGATTATAATTTTAAAGAGGTTTGTGGGGGGGTTTGTTGGAAATTCAATGCTTAATTAATGACTGCCAATCACAGCAGGAGCTGCACCTACAGAAGCTGCACTTGCAGGAGCTGCACCACCAGGAGCTGCACCACCAGGAGCTGCACCTACAGGAGCTGAACTAGCAGGAGCTGCACCACCAGGAGCTGCACCACCAGGAGCTGCACCTACAGGAGCTGCACCAGCAGGAGCTGCACCAGCAGGAGCTGATCCAACAGGAGCTGCCCCAGCAGGAGCTGATCCAACAGGAGCTGCACCAGCAGGAGCTGATCCAACATGAGCTGCACCAGCAGGAGCTGATCCAACATGAGCTGCACCAGCAGGAGCTGATCCAACAGGAGCTGCCCCAGCAGAAGCTGATCCAACAGGAGCTGCACCAGCAGGAGCTGATCCAACAGGAGCTTCACCAGCAGGAGCTGATCCAACATGAGCTGCACCAGCAGGAGCTGATCCAACATGAGCTGCACCAGCAGGAGCTGATCCAACAGGAGCTGCACCAGCAGGAGCTGATCCAACAGGAGCTGCACCAGCAGGAGCTGATCCAACAGGAGCTGCACCACCAGAAGCTGAACTAGCAGGAGCTGCACTACCAGGAGCTGCACCAGCAGGAGCTGCACCACCAGGAGCTGCACTAGCAGGAGCTGCACCACCAGGTGCTGCACCAGCAGGAGCTGCACCACCAGGTGCTGCACCAGCAGGAGCTGCACCACCAGGTGCTGCACCAGCAGGAGCTGCACCATCAGGAGCTTCACCACCAGTAGTAGAACCGAATCGACCATCACGATAGTTGCCATAGTAACTATCAACACTATCTGGTTTGCTAGCAGCAGGTCCATCGTTTAGATTTATAGGATCGCCAATAGTTGTAGCATTACCACCACCACCACCACCACGACCACCATTAGGACCCTTATATGGATTGCAAGAATAACCGGGTAATGGTCCGCCAACATAACGTGGCCATTGTCTAATCAGTTCGTATAGTTTTTCGCCCGGACTTTTTGAACACCATTGATCTCTATCGGCATGCAATTGATAATCGCTGGTCAATCGATCGCCCAGATTGTCCAAACATTTTAGCAAACGTTGACTCGTATCTAACATAAGCTGGTTGGGCTGTTTTTTACCAAACATACCAATAAATGCTATCGACAGTGATTGATTGCCCATTTGATTAGGCATCGAACCCTTTAAATGTTGATCCCGTCCCAGATATACCCGGCCGTCGCCGCCAATCAGATAATTAAAGGCAATATCTTTATCGTATGCTATTTTATGTTTATCTTGAACACGACGTACGGCTAGTATACATGATTGTAGGTCCAGACACTGGTTTCGTATGTAACCGGTTGAAAATACGAATAGATGACGGACGGGTAGTTGTATCGGACGCATGTGTTTGTGTGATATATGTGCGCCCCATTCGGTACGTGTAATAAATGATATATCTGGACATTCTGTGTGTGTGTGTGTGTGTGTTTGTGTGTGTGATTTGTTTGGGTGTTTGTTTGAATGATAATAATAAAAAACTTCAGTAAATCTGATATTTGAATTATAAGTGAGAGAGAGATGGATAGATAGATAGATATATAGTTATATAGATAGATAGAGAGACAGAGAGAGAGAGACAGAGAGAGAGACAGAGAGAGAGAGAGAGAGAGAGAGAGAGAGAGAGAGAGAGAGAGAGAGAGAGAGAGAGAGAGAGAGAGAGAGAGAGAGAGAGATACAGAGAGAGAGAGAGAGAGAGAGAGAGAGAGAGAGAGAGAGAGAGAGAGAGAGAGAGACAGAGAGAAAGACAGAGAGAAAGTATTTAATAATTTTATTCTTAATTAATTAAATAATAATACCTTTTTGTATATCTTTTAAACAATTATAGCAATTAAATGCTGTAATCAATAAAATTGTTAGCAAACTAACCAATTGTTTTCCAAACATTTTATGTGCCTATAAAATAAAAAATACTATAAAAATATTTAAATAAGCAGTAACTATACCTTTGAATAAACACTACTAATTGCTAATTTTTAAAAAATAAATAATTTTTTTTATAAAATATTAATTAACTAACTATTTCATAATAATATACATTTTATTAATATACCGATATATATAAATATAGTATTTAATAGGATATTATGATTTGGAGGGTTAGAGGAGGGGTTAGGTTGTTATATTAATAATTTTTTAACTTTTAACTCGATTATAGTATTAATCAGATATAAATAATTAATTTTAAACGAATTAAATAATATAATAATAAAAATTAATTATTTATATCTGATTAATACTATAATCGAGTTAAAAGTTAAAAAAAATTAAGTTAAAATTTATAATGATTTTTTTTTTAATTAAAATATTCAAATATTTAATAACACTTGAATCAATTTAAATCATAATATTTAATTCATTTGCAATACCCGCGCACACAAAGTACGCATAAACCCTCTATTAAGAGTGAAAAAAACAAAATAAATTTTTATGTTGACACCTACCCCATACCCCACCTGTACTTCCCCCTACTAGACAAAGATTAACTGTGCAACCCTTTTTTTATATAAATATAATGTACGTGCATGTTTTTGCGTCAATTTGATGTTTTTTTTAAATCTAAAAAATAAAATGTGTTTTATGGTTATTATTAGGTGAATAGGGATGGGAATTAGAGGGGGGGGGTAAAGGAAAGGTAATTTTATATATGTAAAAGTATAACATCCGATTACATAATAAATATATATTATTATTTTTATTTTTCCTATATATGACAATTAGATTTAAAAAAATTAAAATAATAAAGTTATCTTATTATATAATTAGGGTTTGTATGCTCATTGGGAATTCCCTAAAAGGGAATCTATTTTTATATAATAATAAGGTTTTATTATAAGATATGATAATTAACTATTATTTATATTTAAATTAAAATTTACACAAAAAAATATTATTTTAATTAATATATTTTAGTTAACTAACTATTATTTTTTACTTATTGTTTTCCTAACTAAGATACAGTATAGATAATTATTAATTTTAGTATTTTAATTTTTATTAAACTAAAATCTAAAATTAGATGAAAGACATATTTTTTAAAATACTGTCTATTATATAATACATATATTATATGAATTAATCTTAACCATGCTTAAATACAACAACAACAAAAAATTAGTAATTATAAATTTTATTTAGTCATTTTTTGTTTTATAAAATTACTTTTAACACGGTAATATTTATTGTTAAATCAAATTAAATATTAATAAATAATATTAAAAGACAATATTAATATATGTTTTATTTTTACACATATTGTTTTTTTCAAATTAAATCAATGTTAATTTTTAAAATAAGCACAATCAAATCTTTTTTTTTTGCGATTAATTATTTTCAAAAAAAATATCAAAATATCAGGGTTGCAAATCAGGGTGGGGTATAGGATAGGGTGAACAAATAGGGTTTAAACAACAAAGTTTATAGATCTTAATTTTATAATAAATTATTTAAATAATAAAAAACAAACAAATAAAAAAAATTAAAAAAAAAATTAATTAACATAATTTATTAATTAATAATCTGTTTTATAGTAATAAACAATTATAATATTATTATTGTTGTTAATATTTTAATAGTGACAAAAAAATCATTTACCACCAAGAACAACTCTAAGATGAGCACCAGTAGCAGCAGCAGCAGCAGCAGCACCTGTAGCAACAGGAGCACCAGCATTAGCAGGTTCACCTGGAACAGCATCCATAGAATAACCTGTAGGACCAAAACCCTGAGCTAGTTTGGCTGATGTAGGACCGTCCAATCGGGCTTCCATAGTACTACCTTGCACAGGTATACTATTGCCGTTACTATCAAAACTACCGACTATAGGTCTATAATCGTAATTACCAATAAGTCCATCAGCTATCTGCGTGCCAATAGTTTTATTGCATCTATACGTTGACAATGGTCCGCCCTTGAAATGTGGCCATTGTCTGATAACATTGTATACCAGTTGGCCAGGACTCTTGGTACACAACTGATCCCTGTGACCATGCAATTGATAGTCACCAGTCAATCGGTCGCCCAGTTTCTCGAAACATTGGACTAAACGTTTGGCCGTATCCAACATCAGTTGACTGGGTTCCTGGTTGTCGTACTGGCCAATAAATGCTACCGACAGGGACTTATCGTGCAAACCGACCGGTTGCGATCCGACGACCAACGTTGATCGTCCCCAATATATACGGCCGTCGCCGCCAATCAGTGCATTATAGCTAATATCCCGGAGCTCCTGTGTATCCATTTGATAGTCTTGAATATAGCGTACGGCACGGATACATGAGTTCAGGTCCAGACACTGTCGGGAATAACTACTGGTGTGATAAATGAATAGATGTGGGACGGGTAGCTGTGAGGGTGCCAGTGATTGTCGTGGTAGACGTGCCCCCCATTCTCTACGACCAACGGATGGCAGATCTGAACATTCTGTGTGTACGTGTGTTTGGATAAGAAATATTAATTATTAATAAACTTTATATTAGTATTGATTATGAATGAGAGATACAGACAGAGAGAAAGACAGGGACAGACAGACAGAGGGACTGACAGACAGAGAGACAGACAGACAGACAGACAGACAGACAGACAGACAGACAGACAGACAGASAGAGAGAAAGACAGAAAAATATTATAAAAATTAGATATTTATTCTGTATGTCTGTCTGTTTGTCTTACATACATACAAACTAGACTGACCACCCATACAGGTGCCGCCTGTATTATACAGGAATTAAGGGTCTAATACAGGTGACAGGAAAGGGCTAACCTGTATAATAAAATATACAGTTTTAAAATATGTAAAACTAATTGATTAATAAAAGTATAAAATAACTATGAATTAAGTTTTGTTAGTAAAAAATTGCTTGTATTTTTAATATACAGTTTAAATATTTCAAATATTTTTTTTTAAATATAAAAAATTTATAAATATTTGTAAAATTGTTCATGTTCAATATAAAATAATTTCAACTTTTTATATAATTATAGCATCTAAATTAAATTTATTTTATAGTATTATAAATATATACGAATATATAGTTATTTAAGTACAGGTTAACATACAGGAATATAATATTTAATATACAGGAAAATACAGGTGAAAATAATAATTTTATACTATTATACAGGTTTACTAATAAATTGGGTGGTCAGTCTAATACAAACAGACAGACATATAGACAGACAGACAGACAGAAAGACTGACAGACAGACAGACAGACAGACAGACAGACAGACAGACAGACAGACAGACAGACAGACAGACAGAATAAATAACTAATTTTTTATATTTTTTTCTAAATTAATGTATTTTTTTTAAAGATATTACCTTTTTCTATAAATTTATAACAAATATAGCTATTAAATACTGTAATCAATAATATTGACAGCAAACTAACCAATTGTTTGCCAAACATTTTTGTTTAAAAAAATGAATAAATGAATAAAAATAGTTTATAATTGAAAAATTAATTTTTAATAATCAAAAAAAATATTTTAAAAAAGGGTTTAATATGGTTTTTGTATACACACATACACTACTAACTGCTAACTATAAAACTATAAATTATTTTTTTAATTTTTTTTATAAATTTTAATTAACTAATTATTTCATAATAATATACAGTTAATTAATTATTATTATATATAGTATTTATTAGGTTTTTTTTAAGTGGAGGGGTAGAGAAAGGGTTAGTTTTGTTATAAAAATTACTCTCTTAATAATTTATATTTTAGACTAATTTTTTTGATTAATTTTTTACTAAATTGATTACTAAATCTATTAGGACAGTAGGTATATAATTAGTATAAGCATCAAAACTGTAAATTATGACAAAACTTTTATTATTAAACAAAAGTACACTTATTTTTAGTAATAAATACAAATTTTCACAACATTTGCTCATTTGGTTCAGTTTTGGTGACTTCTTAAAGTGTTCAATGTCTGAGAAAACCATAAATTTTGCTTCTCGTGATTTTCGGGCAATAATTGCCTATTGTTATCGGCGCGCGCTGACGGCACAGGAGGCGACAGATGAAATTAATGACACATTGGGATCAAATACTGTTATTTACTCTACAGTAACGCATTGGTATCGAGAGTTCAAATTTGGTCGTACATCACTTGAGGATATGCCGAAGTCAGGTCGACCTCGGGAAGTGACCACCGATGAAAATGTGGCCAGAATTCGGGAACTACTTCAAGTAGATCCACGAATGACACTAATACAGATGGCATATACATTGAATATTTCAACCGAGAGAGTCCATCATATTCTACACAATTATCTTAATGCAAGACATGTTTGTGTCAAATGGGTACCTCACGTGCTGTCAGCCGACCAAATGGCCACTCGTGTTAAGATCTGCCGGGAAAACCTAAAGATATTTTCGGATGGCGGAGATCACTTTATTTATCGATTAGTGACTGGTGATGAAACATATGTGTACTTTTATGACAATTTAAACAGTAAAGAAGCAAAGTTATGGGTCATAGAAGATGAAGAGATCCCGAAGTTAGCCAAACGTGAAGTGCATGTAAAAAAGATAATGCACGCCATTTTTTTCGCTCAACCGGTATTGTGAAAATCGTTAAGTTAGGAAAGGGAGAGAAGGTTACCGCCGACTGGTATGTGAAGAAATGTTTGCCTCAAGTCTTTGAATCTGTTTGTGAGGACCGCCCGAAGTCGGGACTAACTGGTATTTTTTTGCATCACGATAATGCCCGTCCTCACAAAGCATTGGTAACAACCAAGTATCTCAAAGACAATGGTATTCGACTTCTGGCACACCCACCGTACAGTCCTGATCTGGCTCCGGCTGATTTTTGGCTTTTCAAAAACCTCAAGAAACACCTGAGAGGAACGGTATTTAATAGCGAAATTGAGATTGACATCGCTATTGAGTCATTTTTGGGAGACCTAAGTCCAGCCGACTGGCGCGGGGTCTATGAGAAGTGGGTCGACCGTATGAAACGTGTCATAAGGGCTAACGGAGACTATATTTAAATAATATTTGAAAAAAATTTGAATAAAATTGTCTTAAGCTACCGAGGCTAATTTCTTTTCTACCAATCTAATATTTATTTATTTTTTTAGGTAAATTTATAATGATTTTTTAAAGATTAAATTAAAGATAAAATGATTAATGTTTTTTTTTAATTTTCAGATAAAATATTGTATAAATTTATATATATATATATATATATATATACTGTATATATATATACTGTATATATATATATACTGTATATATATACTGTATATATATTTATACTGTATATATATAATATAATTTACTATTTTATTTTTACACCAACCCAACCAGCAAATACACCTAATCCCTCTATTAAGTGTTTAAAATTTATTTATTTGTTGACCCCTATCTCTACCCCTTCCCTATCAGTACTCCCCTAATCAAACATATACTGTGCAACCATGGAATATAAATACAAATATGATATATATTGTATTTTTTTTATATATTGACGCATTTGGACAACACGCACATAACATTATCTATATATATATATAATGTACGCGTATTTTGTAGAAATACGTCAATTTTTGTTGTTTGTTGAAAATATGTGTACACTGGGTATTGGTAGTTGAATATTGGGATGGGAATTGGGGGTAGAAAAGGTAGTCTAATTTTATATATGAGTAAAAGTATAACGTCCGGTTACATAATAATTTTTTTATTTTAAAAATATATCAAAACATATTGGACAATTAGATTTATGTATTTTTTCTAAAAAAAAGCAAATAAAGTTATAATATTATATAAATAGGGTTTGAGTGATCACTGGGAATTCCCTAAGGGAATCAATTTCAATTGTAATAACAATTAATATTTTTTAACTAATAAATTTATTTTTAAATAACAAAAATTGTGTGTAATAAAAATTTATTCCAAACAAAAAATAAAGATTTTATTAGTAATTATCTAAAATTGAAATACAAAATAATATTAATATATTTTCATATATAACAGGTTAGTGAGGGATAAATAAAATTTTGGAGAGAATTTAATTGAGGGAATATTCAATTGTATATACAGTACCAGCTCTAAAATAGTATAATATTTTTTAATTACAGTTTTTAATGTATATTATAATAGATTTTTGTTATCATACTGTATATGATAATTAACTATTATTTATATTTAAATTAAAATTTACAATAAAAAATATCAATTATTTATTTAGGTATATAAATGTATACATTATATATATATATATATATATATATAATTATAAAGTAGAATTAAATCATATTTTTTATAATCAATTTTATTGAGATTATTATTTTATTTTATCTATAGATTAATTTATTACAATTTATATAGAAATTGTTTTTATTAAGATTTTAGAAAGATTTGTTGAAATAAATATCTTTTTAATTTAATGCTTAATTAATGACTGCCAATCACAGCATGAGCTGCACCACCAGGAGCTGCACCAACCGGAGCAACACCAGCAGGAGCTGCAGACAGCAGAGGCAGAGACAGAGAGAGACAGAGAGAGACAGAGAGAGAGACAGAGAGAGAGACAGAGAGAGAGAGAGAGAGAGACAGAGAGAGAGACAGAGAGAGAGAGAGAGAGACAGAGAGAGACAGAGAGAGACAGAGAGAGACAGAGAGAGAGACAGAGAGAGAGACAGAGAGAGAGACAGAGAGAGAGACAGAGAGAGAGACAGAGAGAGACAGAGAGAGACAGAGAGAGACAGAGAGAGATAGAGAGAGACAGAGAGAGACAGAGAGAGACAGAGAGAGACAGAGAGAGACAGAGAGAGACAGAGAGAGAGACAGAGAGAGAGACAGAGAGAGAGACAGAGAGAGACAGAGAGAGACAGAGAGAGAGACAGAGAGAGAGACAGAGAGAGAGACAGAGAGAGACAGAGAGAGACAGAGATAGAGAGAGACAGAGAGAGACAGAGAGAGAGACAGATAGAAAGACAGAGAGATAAAGAGAGAAAGAGAAACAGAGAGACAGAGAGACAGAGAGACAGAGAGAGACAGACTATTAATAAATATTTCATAATTTTTTTTATTATTAATCATAATCAAAATCAACTATTTTATAATTTTATAATCATGACTATTTTTCGAGTTATTTTATTTTTTGATAATAATTTTTATATTAATAATATTATTATATTTAACATTATAAATTATTATTCTATAAATAGTCAATATTATTTATTATTTTAATAATTAATTTTCATCAATAAACTTAAATATTTAAAAGTTTAAAAGTACCTTTATATGCCATATATTTAAAAATTAATTTTATTTGACCACACCTTATTTTTTATAAATTTTTAAAAATAATTATTAAAAATATATTAATTATGTTTTAAAATTATATATAATACTCGACATTTTATTTTAAAATAAGTGTTTCAAATGTTTTTGGATTTCTGGGGGTATACAAGGGGTAAAAGTGGTATGGTATAGGATAGCGTGAAAAATTTTTTGATTGCATTTTTTCAACAAAAAAAGAGCTTAATTTCATAATTTAAATTATTTTAATAATAAAAAAACAAATATAAAACAAACAATAAATAAATTTAATAACTTTAATTATTTTTAATTAACTTCTATCTTTATTATATCTTTAATTAGCTTTAAATATTATTGTTGTTAATATTTAATCAATTAAATATAAAATCAAGCAGCACCATTAACAGGTCCATCAAGTATGAGCACCTGTAGCAACACCACTAGCAGGAGCACCAGTAGCAGCAGTAGCACCTGTAGCAGCACTTGTAGCAGCAGGACCAAAAAATTGAGCTACTAATTTGGCGGCTGTACGATCCAATTGGGCTTCATGAGTGCTACCTTGATGGACAGGTATACTATCAAATTTACCGACATTAACCGGTCTATAATTATGATGACCAATGTCAAGCCCAACTGAGCCTAAAGGTTTATCCATGTATGTCAATAGTTTAAATTGCACCAATACGTTGGCAATGGTCCACCATGGAAAATGTGGCCATTTTTTGTTGTTGATAATATTGTATACAAAATTACCAGGACTAATTGTACACGACTGATCCCGCGATGACCGTTCAATTGATAGTCAACGGTTGCAATCGGTCGCCCATACGCTCCAGACATTTGATAAAACGTTGGGCCGTATCGAACATCAGTTGGTTGGGCCGTTCGATAGTGTGCTGGGGGGCTGACCAATAAATGCTATATTTATCTACTGATCCGCTAAACCTACTGGTATCGATGCGACCAGTAGTATGATGTATGAACAGATGACGGACGGGTAGCTTAGACGGTCCGAGTGATTGTTTTGATAGACGTGCGCCCCATTCCGTACGTCCAATAAATGGCAGTTCAGGACATTCTGTGTGTGTGTGTGTTTTGAATGATAGTAATAATTATAAGCTATATTAGCATTGATTCGTAATGAGAGACAGAGAGAGACAGAGAGAGACAGAGAGAGACAGAGAGAGACAGAGAGAGACAGAGAGAGACAGAGAGAGACAGAGAGAGACAGAGAGAGACAGAGAGAGACAGAGAGAGACAGAGAGAGACAGAGAGAGACAGAGAGAGACAGAGAGAGACAGAGAGAGACAGAGAGAGACAGAGAGAGACAGAGAGAGACAGAGAGAGACAGAGAGAGACAGAGAGAGACAGAGAGAGACAGAGAGAGACAGAGAGAGACAGAGAGAGACAGAGAGAGACAGAGAGAGACAGAGAGAGACATAGAGAGAGACAGAGAGAGACAGAGAGAGAGACAGATAGAAAGACAGAGAGATAAAGAGAGAAAGAGAAACAGAGAGACAGAGAGACAGAGAGACAGAGAGAGACAGAGAGAGAGAGACAGACTATTAATAAATATTTCATAATTTTTTTTATTATTAATCATAATCAAAATCAACTATTTTATAATTTTATAATCATGACTATTTTTCGAGTTATTTTATTTTTTGATAATAATTTTTATATTAATAATATTATTATATTTAACATTATAAATTATTATTCTATAAATAGTCAATATTATTTATTATTTTAATAATTAATTTTCATCAATAAACTTAAATATTTAAAAGTTTAAAAGTACCTTTATATGCCATATATTTAAAAATTAATTTTATTTGACCACACCTTATTTTTTATAAATTTTTAAAAATAATTATTAAAAATATATTTATTATGTTTTAAAATGATATATAATAATCGACATTTTATTTTAAAATAAGTGTTTCAAATGTTTTTGGATTTCTGGGGGTATACAAGGGGTAAAAGTGGTATGGTATAGGATAGCGTGAAAATTTTTTTGATTGCATTTTAATAATAAAAAAAACAAATATAAAACAAACAATAAATAAATTTTAATTAAACTTTTAATTAACTTCTATCTTTATTATATCTTTAATTAGCTTTAAATATTATTGTTGTTAATATTTAATCAATTAAAAATAAAATCAAGCAGCACCATTAACAGGTCCATCAAGTATGAGCACCTGTAGCAACACCACTAGCAGTAGCACCAGTAGCAGCAGCACCTGTAGCAGCAGCACCTGTAGCAGCAGGACCAAAAAACTGAGCTACTAATTTGGCGGCTGTACGATCCAATTGGGCTTCATGAGTGCTACCTTGATGGACAGGTATACTATCAAATTTACCGACATTTACCGGTCTATAATTATAATGACCAATGTAAAGCCCTACTGAGCCTAAGGTTGATCCATGTATGTCAATAGTTTAAATTGCACCAATACGTTGGCAATGGTCCGCCATGGAAAATGTGGCCATTTTTTTTTTGATAATATTGTATACCATAATCACCAGTACTAATTGTACACGACTGATCCCGCGATGACCGTGCAATTGATAGTCAACGGTTGCAATCGGTCGCCCATACGCTCCAGACATTTGATAAAACGTTGGGCCGTATCGAACATCAGTTGGTTGGGCCGTTCGATATCGTGTGGGGAACTGACCAATAAATGCTATATTATTATCGACTGATCCGCTAAACCTACTGGTATCGATGCGACCGACAGTGTTGATCCCGTCCCAGATATATATACGGCCGTCACCGCCCGATCAATGCATTATAGGTAATATCCGGTTCCTGTTTAGCATAATCATTTTGTAATTTTTTGTATGGAGCTAACAGAATAGATACATAGAGTTCAGATCACCGCATTGAGCCGGATAGCTAGTAGTATGATGTATGAACAGATGACGGACGGGTAGCTTAGACGGTCTGAGTGATTGTTTTGATAGACGTGCCCCCCATTCCGTACGTCCAATAAATGGCAGTTCAGGACATTCTGTGTGTGTGTGTGTTTTGAATGATAGTAATAATTATAAGCTATATTAGCATTGATTCGGAATGAGAGACAATGAGAGACAATGAGAGACAATGAGAGACAATGAGAGACAGTGAGAGAGACAGAGAGAGAGACAGAGAGAGAGACAGAGAGAGAGAGACAGAGAGAGAGACAGAGAGAGAGACAGAGAGAGAGACAGAGAGAGAGAGAGAGAGAGAGAGAGAGAGAGAGAGAGAGAGAGAGAGAGACAGAGAGAGAGACAGAGAGAGAGAGAGAGAGAGAGAGAGAGAGAGAGAGAGACAGAGAGAGAGAGAGAGAGAGACAGAGAGAGAGACAGAGAGAGAGACAGAGAGAGAGACAGAGAGAGAGACAGAGAGAGAGACAGAGAGAGAGACAGAGAGAGAGACAGAGAGAGAGACAGAGAGAGAGACAGAGAGAGAGACAGAGAGAGACAGAGAGAGAGACAGAGAAATTATCTGATTTTTTAAAAATTATTATAACTTTTTGTAAATCTTTAAAACAATTATAGCAATTAAATGCTGTAATCAATAAAATTGTTAGCAAACTAACCAATTGTTTTCCAAACATTTTTTTTTTCTTAATAAAAAGTAAAATAGTTGTAAAAGTATAGTCAAATTAATTAATTAATTAATTTTTAAAAAAACAAACATTTTGCTTAATAAAGTTTACTATCGCTAATACACTACTAACTGCTATAAATTAGAAACTATAAATTATTTTTTTATTATAAAAAATTTTAATTAGCTAGCTATTTCATAATAATATACAGTTAATTTAATATTATATTATACATTTAACCAAAATTTATTTGACTTATTTGATTAGTTATAAATTTTAAACATTAATATTTATTTTTTACATATTTATTTTTTTAGTCAATTGGTAATATCACTGGCTTTATTATATATATATTTAAAAAAAATTAATATGTAATAAATATTAATAAGTTCTAAATTATATAACTATTAGATTATTATTTATTTATAGAATTAATTAAATAAAATTACTTAAGTTTTTATATTTTTATAAAATATATTTAAAAAATATAAATATTTGGGTCAAGTGATTTGGGCTAAATGAGTTTATAGCTTATGAACTATACCCATATTGACGCATTTGGACAACACGCGCATTACATTATATATATATATATATATATATATATATATATATATATATATATATATATATATATATATATATACAAAGTACGCGTATTTTCTACAATTACGTCAATTTTTGTTTTTTAAAAGATTTGTATACAATGGGATTGGTAGTTAAATAGGGATAGGAACTGGGGGGAGAAAGGTAGACTAATTTTATATATCAATAAAAATATAACATCCGGTTACMTAATATTTTTTTAAAATTTCATAAAACATATTTGACAATTATACTTGTTTTTTTAAAAAAAATAATAAAGTTATCATATTATATAATAAGGGTTTGGATGCTAACTGGGAATTCCCTATAATGCTAATGTAATTTTACTTAATAAAACAATTATAACAATTAATTCATTATAATTATTATTATTTTTTGTTTATTAATAACAATTTGTGTAAAATTGAATTTTTTTTCCTAAAAAATAAAGTTTTAATTAGTAATTATTCAAAATTAAAATATAAAATAATTATACCGTAGTAGTCCTATCTAACGGGTTAGTGCGGGATAAAATTAAATTATGGAGGGAATATTCAACTGTATATACCAACACTAAATATAAAATAATATAGTATTTTAATGTAAATATAATATTATTGCTTTTAATTATCATATATGATAATTAACTATTATTTATATTTTAATTAAAATTATAGTACAATTAAAGCATATTTTTTAATAATCAATTTTATTGTGAAAATTATTTTATTTAATCATAGATTAATTTATATAGAAATTGTTTTTATTAACATAACATATCAAATAAATATCATTTTAAATTTAATATTAAATTAATGACTACCAATTTGAGCAGGAGAAGCACCAGCAGGAGCTGCAACACCAGGAGCTGCACCAACAGTAGCTGCACCACCAGGTGCTGCAGAAGCAGGAGCTGCACTAACAGGAGCAGCACCAACAGGAGCAGCACCACTAGGAGCTGCACCACCAGGAGCTGCACCAGCAGGAGCTGMACCAGCAGGAGCTGCACCAGCAGGAGCTGAACCAGTAGGAGCTGCACCAACAGGAGCAGCACCACTAGGAGCTGCACCACCAGGAGCTGCACCAGCAGGAGCTGAACCAGCAGGAGCTGCACCAGCAGGAGCTGAACCAGTAGGAGCTGCACCAACAGGAGCAGCACCACTAGGAGCTGCACCACCAGGAGCTGCACCAGCAGGAGCTGAACCAGCAGGAGCTGCACCAGCAGGAGCTGAACCAGTAGGAGCTGCACCAACAGGAGCAGCACCACTAGGAGCTGCACCACCAGGAGCTGCACCACCAGGAGCTGCACCAGCAGGAGCTGAACCAGCAGGAGCTGCACCAACAGGAGCAGCACCACCAGGAGCTGCACCACCAGGAGCTGCACCAGCAGGAGCTGCACCACCAGGAGCTGCACCACCAGGAGCTGCACCAGCAGGAGGTAACACACGATCTAAACCAACAAGAGGAGCACCTACAAGACCTTTAGGTACACCATATTGAACATTATTATATAGATTATTATAATATTATAGTAGCATTGTTGTAGTAGCAGTACCTTTAAACTGACCAATTTGATCAGCTCCAACAGCACCATAAATAATACCACCACCGAATCGACCATCACCATAGTTGCCATAGTAACTATCAATATCAGGTTTGCTAGCAGGTTGATTGCTAACTATAGCAGGATTGTCAATAGCGGTAGCATTAGCACCACCACCACCACCACCACTAGTAGTAGTAGTAGTAGTACCATTAGCCGTACGATTATTGCACCTATAGCTGGGCAATGGTCCGCCAACAAATCGCGGCCATTGTTTAATTAGATCGTATAGTTTTTGGCCAGGACCATCCGTACAAATTTGATCGCGAGCACCATGCAATTGATAATCGCTGGCCAATCGATCGTCCAATTTGTCCAAACATTTTAGCAAACGTTGACCAGTTGACAGCATCAGCTGACTGGGCGGTTGTTTATCAAACTGACCAATAAATGCTATCGAAAGCGATTGATTGTGCAAACCCTTTGGCAACGCACCCTTTGATTGTTGATCCCGTCCCAGATATACCCGACCGTCGCCGCCAATCAGCCAATTATAGCCAATATCTATATTATACTTTTGTTTTTGTTTGTCCTGAATCCTACGTACGGCTAGTATACATGATTGTAGATCCAGACACTTTTGCGACACATAAATGTTGAATATGAATAGATGACGGACGGGTAGTTGCATCGGCCGTATGGCTAGTGGTGATCTGTGAGCTCCCCATTCGCTACGTTTAATGAATGATAGATCTGGACATTCTGTATGTGTTTAGGGATTGTTTCAATTAAATTAATTATTAGTCTCTCTCTCTCTCTCTCTCTCATTCATTCATTCAAATTTACATTCAATTGAGAATATTTTAATTAAAGAGAGACAGAGAGAGAGAGASAGAGAGAGAGAGAGAGAGAGAGAGAGAGAGAGAGAGAGAGAGAGAGAGAGAGAGAGAGAGAGAGAGAGAGAGAGAGAGAGAGAGAGAGAGAGAGAGAGAGAGAGAGAGAGAGTGAGAGAATACATAAGTATTTAATATTTTTAATTTATTAAATAATAATACCATTTTGTATATCTTTTAAACAATTATAGCAATTAAATGCTGTAATCAATAAAATTGTTAGCAAACTAACCAATTGTTTTCCAAACATTTTTTTTTGTTGGCTATAAAAAATAAATACTAGTTTATTATACAATAAATTTTTTATTAGCTTAACTATACCTTTGAACAAAACACTATTGACTGCTAACTATAATATACTTAACTAATAAAAAAAAACATATTTTTTTGTGTTTTTTAGAAAAAAATAAAATTTAATTATCTATTAATAATTATTTCATAATAATTTCAATTAATACGTAACTGTATTGAGATCATTGGTGGCGAGGGTAGTGGGGTATATGGGGTAATCTATAATGAAACCTAAAATTAAATTAATAAATTTTAATTTATTATTATTATTAGTTTAAAATTTATTTTATTATATTAAACTATAAATTTTTTATATTATATATTATATAAATTTTATCAATAACATATTATACTTTAAAATTAAACATATACACTACCATTAGCCCATCCCCCACCCCATTACTCCCTTAGACAACTTGTGCAGCCCTATATATATATATATATATATATAGTATATGTAATTAAGTGTACGCGCGGTTTGTCTGAAAAAAAATGCGTAAATGTGTAGATGTTTTAAAACCAAATAAAAAAACAAATGATATATAATAGGTATTAATATATGAAAATAAGTGGGAGAGGGGATGGAAATGAGGGGGTCAATGGAAAAGTTTATATATTAGTAAACGTAGAAACATCCGGTTATGTAATAATTTTGATTTTTTTTTAAAGTTATTAAATAATACATATTTTTTTAGTATAGTTGAAATATATGTAGTGTTGTTAATTTTTCATCAAATTAGTGTAAATTGATGACCATGTTTAAATAACAAAATAAAAATGATCTATTTTATTGTTAAAATGTTACTTGTAGAAAAATACTGTACATTATATAAAATATTTAAAAATAAAATAATTCGTTATTTATGAATAGTAGACACTTATTAGATAATGATTTTTAATATTATTACTTATTCAAAGAACACAATATTGAAATTCGAAAAAGTATTTTATATTAAAATTTGATTATCTAAAAAAATATTTGACATAATTTTTTTTTTAAATAATTAATAGTATTAAAATCTTTATCTAATTAGTGTCTAATATCCATAAATAACGTCAATTTATTTTGAATAGTTTGAAAAGCCATATAAATTTATTTTTTGTCCAACTTAAAAAAAAAATTTATTCCTATAAATTTTCAATATAAGCTTAACATATTTTCTATGAAATATTTATTATAACATTTATAGGTTAGGTTCTGACATAGTGGTTTGCAAACATTACAGAATAAATATGATCACGTGATTAAAATTAAAATATTTTATAATTTCACACGTAAATCACTTTTTTATACACTTTTTAAAAAAATGAATATATCTGTTATATAATAATATAATATTTGTAATTCAGTAAAAATTAACTTTTATCCTGGTTAAATTTTAAAAATTATTATATATTATATTGTTAAAATAATTAATAAATGTTAATTAGGAAATTTATGTTTTTTAGACATACAATTTTTTAAAATTTAAATCTTATTAGTTAATTTAAAAAAAATAGATTGCGCTATGTAATAATTGCGATTTTTGCAATAAAAACAGTACTAACTATATATGTATATAAATAATTTAATGTCGATAAATATTACAAATAAAAAAACAAAACTATATTTAATATAATACTATATTTTTGTAATTATTTTTTATTTTAAAATAAATGATATTTATAATTATAAATTATTATAAATATTACAAATAAAATCTAGATCAATCTATATTATTTTGTTTAAATAAATATATTTATTTTTTTTAATAAGATTTTTTTAATTTTATTTTGACATTTTTTATTTTTAAAAATATTTATTAATTTCTAGCAAATATTGTTTAAATAGCAATTTCTGTTTTAATATACTATCTAATAGGATTGTCAGCTTCAGCACCAGTAGCATTAGCTTTAGAACGTATAGCATGTTCGGCGGCTAACCATCTATAATAACTGGCCATATCTGCCGCAAAAATCGGACTAGCTAATTGTCCATTGCCAACTGGTTGACCACCTAAATGACTGCCACCAGGTTGACCACCTAAGTGACTGCCACCAGGCTGACCACCTAAATGACTGCCACCAGGCTGACCACCTAAATGACTGCCACCAGGTTGACCTACTAAATGACTGCCACCAGGCTGACCACCTAAATGACTGCCACCAGGCTGACCACCTAAATGACTGCCACCAGGCTGACCACCTAAATGACTGCCACCAGGTTGACCTACTAAATGACTGCCACCAGGCTGACCACCTAAATGACTGCCACCAGGTTGACCACCTAAATGACTGCCACCAGGTTGACCTACTAAATGACTGCCACCAGGTTGACCACCTAAATGACTGCCACCAGGTTGACCTACTAAATGACTGCCACCAGGTTGACCACCTAAATGACTGCCACCGGGTTGACCACCTAAATGACTGCCACCAGGTTGACCACCTAAATGACTGCCACCAGGTTGACCTACTAAATGACTGCCACCGGGATGACCACCTAAATGACTGCCACCAGGTTGACCACCTAAATGACTGCCACCAGGTTGACCACCTAAATGACTGCCACCAGGTTGACCTACTAAATGACTGCCACCAGGTTGACCACCTAAATGACTGCCACCGGGTTGACCACCTAAATGACTGCCACCAGGTTGACCACCTAAATGACTGCCACCAGGTTGACCTACTAAATGACTGAGAGAGAGAGAGAGAGAGAGAGAGAGAGAGAGAGAGAGAGAGAGGGATGACCACCTAAATGACTGCCACCAGGTTGACCACCTAAATGACTGCCACCAGGTTGACCACCTAAATCATTGCCATAGAATGAGCCTCGTAAATGACTATAAATGACCGGTCTAAGACCAGTGATCGGCCACCGAGGCCCCATAGAGAGAGAGCAGAAAGAGAGACAGAAAGAGAGACCAGAGATAGAAAGAGAGACTGAGAGACAGAGGAGATGAAAGAGAGTTAAGTCCAGAAAGAGAGTACAATAAACAAATATAGCAATTAAATGCTGTAATCAATAAAATTGTTAGCAAACTAACCAATTGTTTTCCAAACATTTTTTTTTGTATCTATGAAATTATCAACAAAAACAAAAACAATAATTTTATTTAATCAAGTTATTATTTTATTAAATATTTTTTTTTTAAATTTACTAAACAAACTGTTACTTTAGTATAGATTTCTATCCCTTTTGAATACACACTACTGACTGCTTTACTAAAGAATATAATATTTTTTTTTATTTCAAACTTAAATAAAACATTTTTTTTAAATTAAAAATTTATTAATTATTAATTAATATTTCATAATAATATGCAGTATATAAATATTGTACATACAACTGTGTGTTAACTATAAACTATAGGCATTTGGGGGGCATTGCCAGGGCAGGCATTTATTTCCTAAATAACCCTTGAAGTTGCTCCCACACCTACCCACCCCCACTGTACCCCCTAAACAAACATAAACTTGTGCAACCTTAGTATATATATATATATATAATATACGTAAATGTTGTCCAAATTCGTCAATTTTATGTTTGTTTGTTTTTTAAAAAAATAAAGTATGGACAATTGGGATTGGTTGGAAAATAGGGAGGGGTGKTGAATAGGGGGGGGTGTTGGATAGGGGGAAAGGGATGATAATTTTATATATCAGTAAAAGCATAACATCCGGTTACATATTATTTTTTAATTTAATTTTTCTTTAAACATATTGGATAGTTACGATTTTATTTTTTTTTTTTAAATAATATATTTCTAAAAAATTCTATAATTTTTTAGCATTTTATTAAAATCACAAATTGTTTACAAAAAAAAATATTATTATAATTTATTAAATATAAAATTTAATAAGTTACTTGATTTAAAATAAAATTTTTATTAAATTAATTATAAACATTATAACAAAAAATAATAATAAGTTAATAAATATAGAATAATCTAAAAATTTTTAATAAAATGTTTTACTTTAATTAACAATCTAAAAATTATTATATTTTATAGTTAAAAAAAATTTCGGAGTCTAAAATCAATTAACTAAATAACTACAGTATAATAACTTATTATAATTATTAATGATAATTATTATTGGTTTAGAGAAACAAAACAAAAAAAAAGTTAAACAAAATTAACATACAGTACAATAAAATATAATTGTTTTAACTAAAAAAAAAAAATTAAAAATATATAATTAATTAATTTATAAAAAATTGTAATTTATTTGCTAAACTCGATAAACACTACTGAATAGGTTATGACAATCGATAGGGCTGTCCATATCATTGACGGTTGAATTGTAAACAGCGAACAGGCAGTCAAATCTATTGGTTGATTAATAATATAACCGAAAATCATATTCAACTTATGATAACAATCTCTAGATATATATGTCGATTGATTTGTAATAACGTTAGTGTTGTTAAGTATTGTCGTCGACATAATTGAACCATAAATTTTACGACTACTTTGAGCCATATTTGATGCACTAATGGTAACAATTAGAAATTGTAGCATGGTAAATAACATTTTATAGCCAGTAACAATCAAGTCAAACATGTGATCTAATTATTTTTAAAAATAATTAAAAAAAAATTATTAAAAATAATACTTATAGATTACAAAATTAAATATACATATATATTATAAATATATTTTAGTATTTATCAATATATTTCTAAAATAATTTAGTTAATTAATAAACTAAAAATAAAAAAAACATAGAAATTAATTTAAAAACTATTGTTTATTTTAAATAATTTTTAAAAAATTTGCAAAAAAATTAATAATTAAATTTAATATAAATAATAAAATTTAGATTATTTGGAAAATAATAATAATTATTTTTTTAGCTAGTAAAAAATTTATTATAATAATTATTTATTAATTAATTAATTAATTAATTACCTTGTAGCTCATGTCGATTAATGTACATGATAATTTGATAAGCATACTTGCACATATCATAGACAAAAATCATATAGATAATTAATAATGATACGGATACTAATTGTTGTAGTCGATTAGCTTGCTGACATAGTAAATAATATACATAATGTATCTGGTTCAAATCAGCTAGACAATTCAATTTGAACAATTGATTGCCTAAAATATCCCGATTAAATTTATCAAACATTGCCCTGATAATTTGGCAACTAATTGAACAATATAGGGTAACCAGATTATTAGCCAAATTAGCCAGACCATAGTAGACTAAGCTTTCCAAACCGTATAACCATAGATTAATGTCCATTGATTTGCTACGATTTTTACGTGGAAATAGACCAAACATTTTACTGTACTGGCTAATTTTAACTAAATCAATAGTAACAAATAATAACCAATTAACTACCAATACAACTATCCATATGATCACCCTACGTGTATATTTTTGACAATCAAATTTGGTCAATTGATAACGTTCAATTAATTGATTATTATTATTATTAGTATTACTATTATTTTGTATAATTATAACCTGGTCACATTTTAATGTTGACAATATTAGTAGGGTTGCCACAATTTTGTAGGACATAAATACCAGATTACTAATGTGACCATTTTGCTCGATTATTATTATCCAATGCATATAGTATAGATAAATATATGCTAGTAATTTTACAATAATAATTACAGTAAATTTTAGCCTGCTAATTGGTGTACGTAATGATTGTCGAAATCCATATAATTTTAATAAATTAATTACCAAGCTAATTGGTTTACAAAAATATGCAGGATCATTTAATGTGTATAACTCGTCCATTATTATTATTATTATAATTTTAATGTTATTAAGTGATAATATTTTATTTAATAAATATTAATTTTTTAGCACAATTAATATGATATATAAATTGTACAAAAAAAAATGTCATATGATGTTATGTTATATAAATTATTTTTTAATAACAAATTTATTTATTATTATTATTTTTGTTATGGTTATCAAAAATTATGTATAATTTTATTATTATTAAAATTGTTATTAAAATATTGATTTTTTGTTTTTATCATAAGATATTATTATTATTGTTTAAGTAATACATAAATTAAATGTTTTTTTATTTATTAAAATACAATGACTTATAATATTTTGCTTATGTTTTTTTTTGGTTACAATTATAATAATTAATTAGATATGCATTTCAAATAAAATGTAAAGTTATATTGAAAACATTATTTTATAAAAATAATTAGTTTTCAATTTTATAGTATTTTTTGTAAACATACTGTTATATTTTTATATAACATTTATTTATTTGTTAAAAAAAATTAGTTATAATGTCAGTCATTAACTTTTATAAAAAATAATTAGTAATATTTATAAATTTAATAAAATCAATAATACTCTTTAAAAAAATTAGATACAATGTTATTATTTGTATTATAATTATTAAGAAAACAATTATTCAATGAATTTAATTATTATTTTTTTTGCTAATTATTAGAATATTTTATTTTTTAAAAAATATAATACTATTACAGCAATTATTTAGTATTAGTAATTTTTTAACAATTAAAAAAAATTTAAAATAATTTTTTAATTTATAAAAACTAACAAAATTCTATTAACAAAAAAAATAAAGTTTAATTATTATTAATTAAAATTATTAGTATTATTTGATATCTAAATTTTTTTTATTTTTTTTTGTTTTTTAATTATTCAATACGTTTGAATATTCTAATAGCTTGATTGCGCGGTCGATTTTCGCCCAGGGTCATAAAAAATTTCAAACCCTCCAAATAGACCTGATCGGTACCGGGTAGAAAATCAGGGGTCCAGCCACCCTGGGTATAATTTAATTCAATCAACGTTTGTTTAAAATTAGTACCGCCCGACAGTATACGTTGTTGGCTAAAAACGGTCGATACTATCGACGATTGATTGGCCACTTGTATCTGACCAAACGGTTCCGAACCCGAACCCTCGGCCCGGAAAAATAATCCCGAATAATTCCCGGTAATTTCTAGCCATTTATACTGGGACCACAATCGACTGGGTTCGGATTGTCCACTCAATTGTACGTAAATAAATCCTACGGGTATTGGATTGGATTTTTCCAATTTGTCTAAACGATCGTTGTGTCCAACCAATTGATCTTGGTGTTTTCCTAGTACAACTTGCTGATTGTCTAATGTAACTTGCTGTTTACCTAGTTGATCTTGTTGCTTTCCTAGTTGATCTTGGTGTTTTTCCAATGTATCTTGTTGTTTATCTAGTGTATCTTGGTGCTTTCCCAATTCAACTTGATGTTTTCCCAATTCTAGTTGTTGATTATCCATGATAATTTTTTGTTTTCCCAGTTGATCTTGTTGACTAACTAATTGATCATGATGTTCATCTAATTCATCTTGTTGATTAATCAATGTATCTTGTTGTCTACTTAATTGATCTTGATATTTACCTAATTCAACTTGATGTTTTCCTAATTCAACTTGTTGATTTTGTAATTTCGTTTCCAAAATTTTAGCATGCATACTAATTTCCATTAATAACATTTCCAATTGACCCAATGGTACTTGTTGCATTTGTTGGCAAACTACTTGATTATGTTTAGTACATTGTGTGTCATACCATTTACCTCCCTGTCCCCCATCAGCATCATTGGTTAATAGGCTATCCGGTCGTATTTCTAGACATTCATCTACAGTAGTTACTAGTGGACGACCCTGAGCCCAATTAGTATACATAACTGTGCTATGATCCATCCAGCTAATCAATTTTTGATTAACCTGGGCACCCAACCATATTGAATCAAATAGTTTATGTTTAGTATATAGATAGTCAATCATGTAGTCCTGTTCCTCGGGTGAGTGTATTGTCAACAATGTTGATCCCGGTGCCAATGTTGTACACTTATGTATAGCATTATCATAGGTATCG